AAACACTAATGGAACAGTTCTGTCCTGAATAATAAGAGAATTTATCTTCTAAAAATGAGGAGTTATCAACTTGTTGATGAGTTTTCTATGGAATTAGTAACTTCTTAAGGAGCTACTCAGGTTATAATTGATATTCTAAGCCACTAAATAAGTACTGAGGTCATGTTTTCTAAAAATGTGTACTGGTGGAATCAAAGATGAAATTGAATAAATACTTTTAAACATTTGTACTTTTTATGCAGTTTGAAGTGGCATGTAGTGAAGCCCACAGAATGCAGGTGGGACTCTCTATATCCTGATTGTCATTGAGTATGTAAAGAGCAGCATTCATATGCATAATTCCTGTAAATTTATGGATGTGAAGAATTTCTGAAATGGTGCTATGAATTGAGTCTGTTAAACTCTGCTGAACTATACTGCACTGCTCTTGCAGTTACAGAAAGTTTTCTTTATAAACAGAGACATCTTTATTCATGGTAGGAAAGAGGAGAATGTAGATTTTTAAATGATGTCTCCCTTCAGACTTTTCAAATGAAAATCTGTAATACTGTTGGAGACAGCTCTGAACACTTCCAAACGGAGCATAGTTAATGTTATGTGCTGTGTGTTGCACTGGAGACAGTCACAGATGATTTTCACTGTTTTTTTCCAGGCAATTTCTTTGTAAATCTAGGGGTGCATGAAGGCAAGTAAGTTGATCTGGTCCTATGACAGATGCTGAGCTCTTACTCTGAGATTTGTGGGCTTGCTTTTTGTGGTGTGTGGTTACAGCAGAGTGTGTATTCCTGGTGAGCTCTCCTAGGGATAGTTTTTAGCCTCTGACATGTGGATGGATGCTGGTCCTTGTGACAGGAAGAAAAGTTGGTGCTTCCTATGCAAAGTACTGCCTTGGTATAGCAGTGATCTGCTGTTCAGTCTGTCCCATACACCTCTGGCTCTCTGACTGTTTACTCTTAATGTAGGGTTGGTTTTTCATGCCAGTATACTTAAACTTTTATACTTCAGCTATATCCTGCTCCATTTATGGAGTATAGCTATATCCCACTTTATTTATAGCTATATTCTACTCCGTTTGTATGTGATGCTTGCCTTGATTTGGTTTGTGTTCCTTGTTGTGTTTTATTTGTATCTTACTTGTAAATTTTCAAGGACCTTTTTTCTTCTGTAATTTAACAGTTCACAGGAGGGAAGGATCCCAGTATTACCACTGGTAATGGAAGTGTATTGATGAAAGGCTGCTGCTTCAGGCTGAGAAACAGAAATTGATGTGCTTTGCTGTAGGCTGGGCTGTGTTTCTGGGCTGTTAAAGAATTGATTTGGTTTTGGTTTAGAGGCTTTTCAGATTCTCGTTTCAAGAGTGGATTCTGTGTTGGAAGGTGTTATCAGTGAGGAGTTACTGTGGAGGATGGAGTTGGTATAACAAGATCAGAACATTACCCAACAGAAACTCCTTAAGGAGTTAATTCTTTTTTTTTCCTAGACTAGAAACTGCATACACACCCTAAACCATCTCAGCTGACTCCAGATGTGTCAATGATGCCTGAGTAATTTGTGTATGGGCTAGGAAATACAACTCAGGGCCTACAGCAGACCAATATCCTCCAGCAGCAGTTTCTGCAAGCTTGACAGGATGGTTTGGGGCATTTCAAACTGCTTCCAGTGCCTGGCTGTGTAGTTAAATAAATCCCACAAGGAACCAGGCTTTTCTTCCTGGCAGAATGTGTTACTAATGTGACATGATAAATTGCTCCTGGTGGATGCCCCCTCTAGACTTTGATGTCCCAAGAGAAGTCTGTGGGATCTCTTTAAACATGGACTTGATAGTTTTGCTGTGGTTTCTAAATGTACATTTGGAGATTGTAATAAAATCAAAATTTTTTTTAGATTGTGAAGTGGAATTCACAATGTACTTTAATGCATATAAACCCATAGGGGTTCTGTGGAGTTTTCCCTTGAGAATTCTGGTTACCTGGTTTATGTGATATTTCAAAATTCACTCTTGGAAATGAAAGGTAAAATGAAACTTAAAAGCTTCATACAACTAGTTAGATACAAATATTTGTCCCAGAGAATGTCAGCTAGCTGGTTTTCTGATGTACTTTGGTTCCATCAAAGGTCAGAATTACTTCGGATTGCTGCTTCTGTAATATTGATTACATAAAAAGAAGCTTCGATTACTGCTGCTGTAATATTGATTACATAAAAAGAAGCAGGACTGTTCTGGAAAAGTACAGCGAGTTACTTTTAGTATCCAGGCAAAAGAGTCTTAACCTGACAAGAGAGAGGAAATTTTATGTGCAGTAATCATTGCAAACTCAATATGAGATGTGTTTCAGGATGTTTTTCCTGAATGGGACAGCTTCATCAAACTACTTGTCTCAAGGACAGAAAGTTGTCCTGCTGTGGCAAAATATTCACATAAGAATCACATAATGGTTTTAATTCACATGCTATCCCATTTCTGATAATTGATTGTTTAAATGTTCTAATGCAAAATGTATTTGTTAGTAAAATGGGTTATTAAAACTGAAAATGGAGGTGGCTTTCATTTAAAGCTATCTTGAACAGCAGTGTCTTTTTGGTAATTAATCTTTTTGTTGACATAAATTTGCTGCTTTTGGTGCAATTTATGAAGTGCTCACAGATTGGCATGTGCATTCATTGCTTTGGTATGAATGTGCAGTTTTATTTCATAACCACCAGTCTTAGATCATAATTATCCACTGAATGGTCCAAATCTCACTATGAATTTTTCAGAAATAACTTGATAGGTTCAAAGAGGGTTTTTGAAACACAGGAATTGTCTCACCCAGACAGCATTATCTGACAGGAGTAGGTAGTGCTGTGGCTCCATGGCCAAACTAATACATAGTTAGCCCTGCTGAAAGGAGGAGGCCTTACTCCAAATTTTTCTGTTTATCTTAAAACTTTAATCTTTGTCTAATGTCCCATTAGATAAATTGAGAAACTGATAGCTTACTAGCCAAAGTTTGTCTTGGGAATCCCAGTCCAGTAGAGGTTGTTAGTCCCCAAGAAAATGTTTTGATTTGGTTTTCTTGGACAGGTAGCTGGTTAAATTGGTCAGAGCACAAATGCTGAACATCTTCTAAGGAGAGCAGGTCATAAGGAATGGAAGGTAATGGAAGTTGCCTCCATTTTTAAGGTGTGCCTGAACATTTGAGCATTCATTTGATAAGTATGAAATGCTGATTAGTGTACTCCAGCATTTCTGTAATTACCATATGGATGGCATTCAGAGGAGATGTTTTAGGTCTCCTTTTCTAAAAATGAATGAATCCCAAGATCTCTGCTATAAATCACTAGAAGGACTTCCAAATGCTGCTTCTGGTAATTTATTATATGAGTGGGACAAACATCTGTTTCACATCTAATTTATAGAAAGACCAAAGACCAATTTACAAAGACCATGCTGAAATATGAGGCATGTGAAGCAACTGTGCTTGCTACAACATCTTGGTGTCTCTCCTTAGTAAGGGGGATCAACAGTGTGCTTACTTTGTAAGGAAGAAAATATTTCCATGCCAAAGTGCTTACAGGTGGCCCCTCCAGTTCTCACAGTATGTTTTTTAGTGCCTGAGTGCTCTCCAGAGCTGTAGTATGAGGTTCTGTAGGTTCTGTGTGTGTTTACTGCAAATTTACATCTTTGAAACTTTTTTCCAGATAGGATACAAGGTAGAAAACACCTACTCCAAGAATTTTGTTGTATTCTGGGTATTGTGTCTGTAAACACATTGTTCAAACCTGCATTTGAGACTCTCTTCTGGCAGGATGTATAAAGTCAATACAGGATGCTTTTGATACAAAGGATGGGGGGAAAGGATGGGGCAGGCAGCCTTTGCTTACTGCAGCAATAATGCTCAATGCCATTGGGTTTGGCTGTGCCCTTCCATAGGGGCTGCACAGCATCCTTTATCCTTTTTCTCCATTATCCTGTGTTGTGGCAGTGCCACCCTCCTGCATCTGCAACGGGAGCACTCAGCTCAGGTGCTGTGTTTTGGCAGAGGCAGTGGTGGGGCTCTGGTGGTGGAGAATAAAGGAAAGAATGTTCACTGGCTGGGGCCAGAGCTGCTTGGACAGGGTAATTCCCTTTGCACACTGTCCTGAAAGGATTATCAACATCTCTGACTGTGACAGTACATGCATGGGAGAGCATTTGCTGACAGCTCACCATTTATCTCAACACCTTTGATTTTTGGAGGTGAATGATGGCATTGCAGTGGAATGTGCTCAGCACTCAGTGAAAGAATCTTCCTGTGCTGCCTCTGACCCTTGGGCACTTGTGCTGCTGCCTGTCTTGTAACCAGCACAGTTGCTTTTACAGCCATGCTGTGAATTCTAGCAAAGAATTGATGTGCCTGAACTTGCTTTCATCTGGAGATGCTCTTTTCAGCATATCAATTCCTGATCTAGTTCCCCAAGCAACAGCCAGGATGCAGGGGGCTTGGCAGTAGTGACTGCCATAGGAAACGTGACACTTGTAGTTTATAATGTATTGTAATTTCAGCTAATGCATTAGATTGATATAATGAATTTTGAATTTTAACTGCATTGTGGACTGCTTCAAATTGTGGGGATTGACTCCTTTCCTCCCTTCCCCTGTTGTATGGTGCTTTCCTGCCCATTTTTTTTTCTGATACATGAGTCTTTCCAGTGCTGAAAGAGATTAGCTCATGGATGCAACAGAAAGTAACAACTCGGTGTTTTTGGATCAGTGAATTATTGCAACTTATTTGGTTCTATGATCACAAGGCAGGAAGGGAAAACAATCACATCTTTTAAGTAGTAGTCTGCTATGAACTGAAAGGGAAAAAAGTCCTGTTTCTGTGTTACAGCTGGGGACCTCTCAGAGTGGAGAGATCATGACCTGCCTTATTTTGAGCTGCAGTGTGATATTTATTACAGTAGTTGTTGTTATTTGACCTGTTTAGAGGTGAAATGCTTTTCTTATGACTACAGAAAAGCAAGGTAATATTCCATGGTTTTCAGGGAGCAGGTTTAATGTTTTACCCAGAGGATCAAGACAGTTGTTGCATTTGAATTGGCAGTGATTTTTCTAAAGAAATTAAATTTTCCTGAAAACATCACTTCCAATGTAATTATTTTCAGACAGGTTTGTTAGTGTACAATCTGTATTGCTGGGGGTTTTGTGTTCCAATCTCCACATTATTTTTTGGCTTCTGTAACTTCAGTCTTTCTACCTAGTAACAGCAAGAGTCCTGAAGGTCCTTCATTTTGCCTGATGTTTTGGTAATGGGCTACCATGAGTTCTTTGCATAAGCATTTGCCTTTTTCCAAAAAAGTTCATGTCATCTGCTGTTGTTGGTAGATAAGAAGTCTTTCTCATTGGCTTCCTTGAGGTTTCTCACCTTTTGTTCTCTCTTGATCTTTGCTGTTCTTACAGCACCACAAATTCTGCATTAGAAGTATACTCCAGCATTTTTATGGAAACTGAATGTAATACTCTGTCCTCCCATAAGCTTCTGGTAATATCTAGATTATAATATACTGGATTTATCTCCAGACAGTGGTTGGTAATACTCTTAAGTATCACTGGTTTAACATTTTGATTTTCTGAAGCTTGGAAGTTGTATTTATGTAGCATTTTTCCCTTTTTAGAAAGGCCTTGACTTTTTTTTTGTATTTTTTTTTTCTTCTCTTTTTGCTGCTTAGTTTTCTTAATCTGATACGCTGCTCACATTCAGTAAAAAATGGACTGGAAGTACCAAAATGACTATAATAAGAGGAATCATTAAAAAAACCCCAACACCCTGCATTTGAACTGTTTGGAAAAGGCCTTTTTTGTGAAAAGGTTATCAGGGATGGAAAGACTCTGCTAAAATAGACTTAGAGGGCTGAAATGTTGTTATTTTGCTGAGTGCTGCTATTAATCATCCTGATTTAGGGAGTAAAAGCATAAACAGGGTGAGTTTGCTATATTAATGTGTGTTTGGTGGTAGATACAACAAATGATAGTGCAGCAGCCTCCTGCTGCCTTCTCCCAGTGTTCTTGGTATTATTTTTTCTTCTGCCTGCTGTACTTGGCTGTCAGAATCATAAAGGAGTAGTTTCTCTGACAAGTCCTGCCCCTTTTCCTGTCCCAGCATAATCCATCTTGCTGAGCATTCTGCAGTGCACTGCGGTGGAGTGGTTGCTGTGTCTCACTTGAGAGAATTACAGGAAGAGCACTGGAGAATTGTTCCCAGGCTGCTGACAGCAATCACCTGACGTTTGAACACGTGCTGATACCAAGTGCTGACCTCTTCCTTTGCTGATAAGGCATGGCCAAATCTTGGTTAGGCTTTGGTGTGGCAATAATCCACTGAGAAGCTGGGTTGATATCAGGGATCTCTAGGAGAGTCCATGATCTTCCCTTAAATAACTTTGTTTCTGCAGCTGTTGTGCTGGGGAGGAGAGATTCACTTGCAGAATAGGCTGATAGGCTGTGAGAGATTAAAACCACAGAGCTTACATGATAGGTTGTTTTGTTTTTATTCAAACTCCAGGTAACGAGAAAATTTGGATTATAAATAGAAAGCTTAACAGTGGGAGTAATACAGTATATAGATCATTTGTACACGTGAGTGAATGACCTTCATAACTAACCCATGAGTCATTCCTGTGAGAATAAATTGGACTACAAAACAATTAACTGCTGTGGTTGTGCTTGCTGGTTGATATGCTAGACTGACAAAACTGGCCTATTTTAAAAATGGACATAGTGCTTGTTTTGGAAATTACAATAATTCCCATATTTCCATGCTTAAGTGCTGGTTAACTTTTATAAAGGTACTAATAGGTCATCTTTATATTGAGGAAAAATTGCTTTACATGGAAAAAAAGAAGCTACAAAACAAAAAGTGTCTGAGGTAGAAAAAATCTTGCCACTTGCTTGCCAGTGTATGTAAGATAAAAGTTAGGTCCTGTGTTGTTTTACTCAATAACTATGGAGGTTGGGAGGGGGTAGGGTTTTTTTTAGCAGCTGCCCTTGTTTAGCATAAATACATTGTGACATTTCATATTTAAGTAATTGCACAAAACCAGATGGTAACTTACATAGTTTTATTATCATATTGATTACTAAATGATGCATAATGCATATTGTATTAACTTGGTGATTTATCATAAATCAGTTTGGATTTTTGTGGAGGTACCAGAAGTGGAACAAATACTGCATTTCTGACCTTCACTTTGTCAGCTGTAGTTCTGAACAGTCAGGCAGTCACAAGTCTTTCCTTGCTTTCATACCTCTATTGCTGCTATCACCAGGTTCTGCAATTTTCATTAAAAGTTTATTCTGAACTTGCAGTACTGAAAAACTTGGTAAAATCATTGGTGTGTTCTAAATAACACTCATTCTGGAAGAGTTGTGATTGATGAAGAGAGTAGTTCCTAAACTTTGCTGGTTTTAACGCAAGTGTTATGTTTATTGACTTTCTGGTTTATGATTGCAATTCTTTTCTGTTGTTCTTTATCCCAAGAGAATTAGAGAAAAGCAGTTTTCTGATAATTCTAGTAAATAAAGACTGCTTGTGTAGGTGCTGGTGTTGTACCCCATGGCCTGACACCTCCCCCATCTTTTTTTTTTTCCTTTTTGGAAAGAGACTATTGTCTTCCTGGTGGGGATGGAACAATAGCTGTTCTGAATGACGTAACAGTGGAACTAGAATTTAAAATAACATTTTATCCATGACCCCCTTTCTCTATTTTTGCCCTCTCCCTCCTGCTTGGTACAGACTGAATGCCTCCTTGGGACACTGTGTGTAAACTTCCATGCTTTGTTGCTAAATGTGCATCAGAAGACGTGTTTGGAGTATCTAATGTGGCAAGTGCTAAATTAAACACTTGGAACACTTTAGGGTTATGAGTCATCAATCCCTGGCTGCTGTTTTTAGATTTCAATAATTAATACAACCTACCTGGAAGTTACTTTTCAGATCATGGTGATCCACAATAAATCTTGAATAGAAATAAGCTAGAAAGTTCAGGTACCTGAATGCAAAATTATTTTTAGGTCCAGGAGCAAGCAGAATTTAGACCAGAAGGAGCATAGCAATTACCTTTGGGGGAGTCTAAGTTCAGTAGCCTCAAATGTTTCAAAGGAAGAATCTTACCTGTTAACAATTTTTTTAAAAATAAATAATCCCTAATGATTAAATACAGCATCACTCAGTGATATTGACTCTTAAATGTTGTCTTCTGTTTTGTAGAAGACCCTTTTGAGGACTTCTTCGGTGGCAGGCGGGGTCAAAGGGGAAGCAGAAGCAGAGGTGGTGGTGGATCATTTTTCTCTGCCTTTGGTGGATTCCCTGCTTTTGGAAGTGCTTTCTCTCCATTTGACACAGGTAAATATCATAACATTTAAGAAAGAATGCAATTTTGGCTCTCAAAGGATTGCAATACAACAAGCTGGCTTCTCCATTCAGGCAATTTTGTGACTGATTTTTTTTTTTTAATTAAGCTGGTGTCTGTAAAGTGTAAATGAAAATTAAGCCACAGTTAGAGTATTTGGGCTACCTGAAAGTTCATATAGAGTGAACAGATCTCTAAGAAGTAGAACTTCATGTTTGCTTTATTTTGGTGCTACAGTTTGTTCAGGGCTTTAGAATTCTTTTGTTCTGTTTGCTTTCAGGAGTGTGATGGCTTTTATTACAGGTCCTGAAAATGTGCCTAAACCCCATGGTACTGCTTAGAGTGCTGGGAATCTGGGCATTGCTTGGGGTGTTACTGATACAGGACTTGTTCTGTTTGCCAGCTTGGGGCATCCCAACATCTGCACTAAAGCTGATGATCAGATTCATTAGGCTTGCTGGCTTTCCTCTGAGTGCAGAGTGTGATAAAGGTTGAATGCCTTTTCAGGGGAGGAATTGGCAGATGGTTTTTGGACAATGCTGTGCCTTTGGGACTTGAACTATGGGTCCATATGAGAGAAGTGGATGGGGCTGGAGCCGTGGTTTTATTCTCAGGCTGGTGTTAATGCCATCTAGTCACTGATGCTGTGTGATGAAACCAGCTGAGGGCTTCCTGAAAGTAGGATGAAGTCTGAATCAATGATAAATTTGGATCCCACAGCCATGCAAAATTACATTTTATTCAAATGCCTTCTTTTTCAATAGGTTTTACTTCGTTTGGCTCCCTGGGACATGGAGGCCTTACTTCATCATTCTCCTCTACGTCATTTGGTGGCAGTGGAATGGGAAACTTCAAATCAGTATCAACCTCAACTAAAATAGTTAATGGCAGAAAAATTACTACAAAGAGGTAAGTGATATAAATACATTTATATGAAACTATATGTAGAGACTTAGATACCTATAGTTACATGCATATAAATATATTGTATCTTTGCACACACACAAATAGTGATACATGTTTTTATGTATTACTTGGATTATTGGGTTCTCTGTCTCTTCTTGGCATTGTTGAGTTACTTAATGCTGTAGCTGGAGCCCTTTTAGGCTTCAGAACCTCCTGTGTAGGGCTGCACCTGTTATTACAGTCCTTGACTAGAAATTGGGAAGAATTTTAGTTTTGCAGATGTTATGAAAGAATTTTCTCTAGCATCTGCTTAGTGTGCTTTCCTAGGTAGTGTTTGAGTGAAGTCTTTCTAGTAATTTTTTTCTGTCTGTTATATGAAATGAGAAACTGAAGCCTGCTTTGGAGAAGAAATATGCCTGTTTGTTGGAAAGTGAATTTTCAAGTCCTGTACACTGTACTTTCTCTCCATTTCATGCTTGTGATGGGGAAATAATTCCATTTGGGAAACCCAAGCCTTAGTTAACTATAGAAAAACCTACATGGAGTACTATAATGAATATAGGAGTACTGAACAATCAAGTAATTTCATTACTTAATAGAAAATTGCAGAAAAGCAAAGGAGGATAAATTGTTTTTATTTGTTAACTTGAGTCCCATACTTGTAAGTGCAAGGTTCTTCTGTGAACTGTTGTACTGGAGAGCTCCTGTCATCTTGACCCCTTAATAACAAACAGCCTCTGGATCACATGCTGGTGTGGTCATAATATTTTTCTGAGTGTATGCCAGAAAAATCTGAAAGCTCAAAAGCTCTTTAATAATCTCTCTTTTCAATCAGTGATACTTGAATTTTGTAACATGCATGCTGGTCATAAAGTTGGTGTATAGTAAGTCTACAAATTACTTGCTCTGATCAAATTAAAAATGGATTTTAGACTGTCTTGTGTACAAAATTTGATTGGATCTAGAATACCATATATTTAACAAATGGATAGGGACTAAATGCAGTGTCAAGATTGTGCAGTTGATCTGTCAAGGCATTTAGGCCTAGATAACAGTGTGTAGTATGAGCACAACTCCACATCCTGGAGGATTCCAGCTTGCAGAAGGCAATTTTCCTGACTAAGCAGTGGGGAAATGCAGCTGGGTGCTGGTGCCAGCTCTGGTGCTGGTAAATGCCAAAGCTTGCCAAGTACAGCTGCATTAAGCAGGTGCTACTCCCTTACAGTTTGTTATCTAACCTGAGGTCTGGTGTGTGTTCAAAACTGCCTGCAGTGCTCTGAAATGGCTCATGGTGTTTTTGTCCTGCAGGATTGTTGAGAATGGACATGAGAGAGTAGAAGTTGAAGAAGATGGCCAGTTAAGGTCGCTAACAATAAATGGTAAGGAGCAGCTGCTACGCTTGGATAACAAGTAATTCAACGCACGCATTTAACAGAAATTTTAAGCTCTAACAGCCACCATTTGAGGATTGACAGGAACATTTTTTGAAGATTTCAAACGAATTCAACTTTCTGTATATCGGTACTCAATCTTAAGTAGTATAAGTAGCTCACAGAAGCTCGTATTTGTCATAGACTTTTGAGTTAATCGTTGGGACCACATCAATTGGACCATTTTTTGTCCTTTAAATTGTTGTAAACTTCTGTATGCACTTTTCTTTTCTTATCTGTGATCAAGGTGAACCATGATCCTTCAGTAGTGCTAGGGCGAGATGTACACTAACACTAGCATGAATCTTGCTTTTTCCAATTTGAAATGTGAGCCAATTAGTAGTTCAAGTCTGCTGTGAAGTTAACAGTTCCAGGATAACCTTTTTAATAATTTCAACTTTTTTTTTTTTTTTTTAATGTTTAGTAGTGAACAATGTTAATACATTTCTGGTAATGCATTTCTGGTTTAAATAAATTAAGGATGTTTTCTAGTTGTGCATGAATGCAGACAACTTTAGTAAGTTTTGACAAATGTTTAAATGTGTAATGTAAGCAAAAGGTAAACAAAAGTGAAGCCAGTGAGCTGAGTCTTTTGTCATTTGCTAAAAAAAAAAAATTCAAAATGAATAAATGCTGATGTTTGTGGCGCATTCTTTCATGAATGGCATTTGTAACCTTCCTGTGTCTGTGTGTGATTTGGGCAACTTGGGAAAACGGTGCTTTTTTTTTTTTTCCCCCTTATCATCTTTTTCTTCAATCTTAAGGATGAGGGCCTTTTTTCTTTACAGATGTTTTCTTCAGTGTGACTGAAAACATTATTTTTAATTTCATTTCTAAACCTGTATTTGAAGCACCTATTTTTAAGAAGCATTCAGAGGCTGACTCTCTAACTCCATCTTTTGCCCTAATATGTAATTATTTTAAGTCTAGGCCTAAAGCAATTCTGTTTTAAAAAGTTTTCTAAAGTTATTCTGAGATTTGCTTAAAAAATAATCTGTAGTAAATATAAATATACATTTGATAAATTTATTTATTTAACATTCAATAATTACAAAAAGACTGAGAATTATGAGATTTTTTTTTCTTCCTGTTTTGAGAACAAATAATTGCTTTGAAGATTTGGACAAAATTATTAGGATTATGATATCTCACTCTTATTTTTAGTCCTCAACCAAAAATCAAAAGATGGATTAATGCCCTTTGTTAAATTAATGGAGTGAAGTAAAGTGTTCATTGGTAGCTAAGACCAGATTTTCAAAGTTTAGTGAAAGATGATTTGGTTTTGGTGTGTCACAGAGAAAGCATGCAGGTAACTAATGGTGTATATTAACACCTGCCAGGTTCTGGATAGTTCCATGCACAGATCATGGATGTGCAGCTTTCATCTGTGCACCAGCTTTGAACATCTGGCCTGCACAAAACTCTTCAGGGTGGCTTAGTGGTTTAAAAAAAAAAAAAAAAGCATGGTGTTTTCAAATGATCACCTAATGCCTTCTTGCTGAACACCATCTGCTTTGTACTAACAAATGTGTTGATTATTAAATATGTTGAAAAGATATGCTCTTGTTTTTCATGCAGGAAAACCATTTCAACTTAAGCCAAACCAAGCTAACAAACTGCTACAACAGAATTTGTATTTGCAGTAAAGTCAGTATATTGTACTTTTGTCCCTCTACCATTAATGCTAATTTGATAGAACTGAAAAAAAATAACATGTAGAAGAAAAAATAAATATATACTTTGGTTTTGGGACTTAAGCAGTTATATACCTTTTCAAGTTCTTTGCAGAGTTCCTGTCACTTCAGTGTTGTGTTTTTGATGTAGAAGCACAAACTTAGTTTAGAACTAAACAGTGTTTTCTTGTTAATGCTGTTTTTTTCCCCTCCCCATGTATGTTACTTCTTGATCCAGATAACTAAACATGAAATTTATTTCAAAATTTGGCTTTGTTGTGATGTCTTGAGTTATTAAAAATGTTAATTTATATTTATAGGATGCAGTGTGCTCCTTTAAATTATGTAAATTGTAAAAAATGCTTTAAAATTGATTAACCAAGTCAAATAAAATTAGGACAATCTGGAGTTGAGTTTGAATGCCTTCCTCTGGATACCCATAGATTTTATATTAAAGTGCCAAACTTTGCCTTCTAGTTTTATTCCAAGTCATCTTCTTTAACATTTCAATTACCTTGCTCAGGTTAAGAACACAGTTAGGGTGGCAGATCTGTACCCACATGTTTATCTTCTTACCCAGGAAAGTGTGATCCTTCTCACAGTGTTACACACCAACAGGTCACACCAGGGTTCTGTAGTGAATTTTTTAACACTAAATGTGCTCAAGATCCAGTTTTTTGGATAGTCTCTGTTCTGCCCTCAGATCCCTGAAGCTGCTTGTCAGAGCTGGCCAAAATGCAGCATTAAAGTGGCAGTGCTGCATTTCCTTGGTAGAAACTGGCAAAACACAGGGAATGAGTCAGCAGAAGGCAGAATTTGGCAGTAGATTCCTGCAGGAGTGAGATACCCACACACCAGCATTTCCATAGGCTGGTAGTTGAACTGGATATGTGGGCTTCGTCCAAATACATCATTGGACCAGCAATTCCAGTTCCAGGCTTAAAAATGTGTCATTGTTCACTTGACCTAAACCTAACAGCCTCCATCTCTTTCAGTGGTTTTTGAAATAACATCACATCCAACATTTTTTTAATGCAACTTCTTGCATCCAGCTCCTTTTTTAAAACACAAAATAAACTCACATTCCATGTTTTATTCAGATTTTTTTTTGCTGAATTTGGTTGTTTTCTCCTGAAAACCCACTTGTTAGGTTGCTTTGAAAAAAATTTAATGTTGTTCCTTTCTAATCCATAATTGGCATAGATGTACAAGACCTGTTTATTAGAAGTGATAGATCATCAAGGGCAGCACATTTCCTTACACTTCAGTTTTGGCCAAAATAGTACAAAATGATTAACAACAGAAAAAGTTCCTGATAGCAGATGCTAGGTACAAATATACAGTGGGATGAGGCAGCTTTCAAAACCAGGTGCTGTTGGATTAAAAGTACCATCTTTTCATACATGAGGGATTAATTTTGAATGTCTAGGGACAGCATCCCATTTAATTTAAGCTTCCTGGAAAAACAGTGGTTTGGAAAAACCAAGATGGAGTTTTTGAACCTGCTAAATCATTTAGTCCTTCATGCTCTGCTTCAAAGTTCATTGGTGGATACAAGAACTTTGTGATGCTTTCTCCTGGTGCAACCTCTTTGCAGTCCCTCGTGCATGGCAGTAATCCCAGTGCAGCACACTAACCCCAGTTTCTCTATAGATTGCATGGCACCTGCCCCTTTCACTTGGCTTTACTGAAGGAGTTTGGGATTTTGTGTTGGAATGCTTCACACTGTAAAATGGCTGCACTCCTGCAGTGCTCAGTTCTCACAAGACCTTCTCTGCTGGGAATCAGAGGGCTGGGTTTGGGCTGTAGGTGACAAAGCTGCTCTGCAGAGAGTGTGTGCGTAGCATTTGTCAGGTGGATCCTGTATCAGCTTGTGATTAATTGATGAGCTGAGTTAGAATGCTGAAAACAAGATTGTAAAAGATTTAAAAACCCATCATCTCTAAGCCCAGAGGGTTTGTATCTCTTCTCAGTGTTTGTGTTTGGTTATCCTGTTTCCTTGACTCCTTCAGTGTTTTGGCATTAGGTGTAACTGGAGGTTTGTTTTTTGTATTGAGCTGTGCTGTGTTTCAGACCATCTGTGGGATAGTCCAGTGATAAAGTTAGATTTTATTTTTTATTTTTGGAAATGTGAGTTCCTGAATCTGCTTCTGTTCTGTTTGAGCATTGAGCTCCTTTGCCTGAGTTTAATCTGTGGTTGTAACAGGATAGTGCTTCTGAAGATGGTTGTGTTGCAGAATGAATGCTACAGCTGTTTGATGCTTGTGGTCAGAGAACCTTTGAAAAGGGCCTACTACTTAAAATACTTGTTAACCTTTTTGTTGAAGTGTTTCTTAGTATTTTTGGAAAATTTGCCTCTTTTTAAGTCATGGTATTCTGATGGGCTAGTGGCAATATGGACATCAGTAATCTGCCAGTCAGCAGATTTGAAACTTTGTCTTTTTGAACATAAGAAAGCCTGTTTGCACAGTCTGCTCCCTCAGGGCTTGTTTACTTTATGATTGAGTTATGGCCACAGACTCGATTTGCCTCAACATAGACAGTTTGGGTTTTCTTGTTATTGTTTGTCTTCAAGTGGTTGTCGTAGGGACAGAACTTCTTACCTTCCACCTGAGATGCTGAAATGGTCCTTACATTGCACTAGGACTGGAATGAAGAATGTTGGCTTTGTTAGTGTTACAAACTGTACCTTTGAATTTGTAATTCTAGTGGATTTCTTACTTGCTTTTTAAAAATATATCTTGGCTAGAGTTGGTTGTTGAGTGAAGTGCACTCCTGAAAGGTTAAAGCTGAAGATGGTTGGTTTATTCTCTGCTTTATAGGTCATACATTCACAAAATAGTAAACCTTATGTTTGAGGTGCTGTCAGATTAAAAAAATCACGAAAGAATTAAAATCCCATGATGATGAGAGCTGTAACCATGAACCTCTGCAAGCTGTGCTGATTTAAACTCACTGAAACTTCTCTGAATATTCTGTTGTGGCAGACTCAGTGCTGCATTAGGTGTTATCTCACTTAAAACAGCTGGTAGAAAGTTAATCAAAACCCCACATGAGTACTTTATGCTCTGTCATGCTGCTGTGGCCAAAAGATAGGCAGGAGTTTGGAGGTGATAGTGCCCATGCCTGAAAGCTGGGCTGTCCTGGTGTGAGGTAGATTGCACTGATGGCCTGACTGCTAATTACCTTCTAAAAGAATAAAGGAAGTGCAAGACTTTCAGATATTGTCAGATTCAAAATGTTGTGGTGGGGATTAAAGTATGTTTAATTGAGAAGATAAGTAAAACATTTTATCAGAAGGACACGATTAAATAGAATTCTCTTTAGTTTCTCTGGCTTTTACAATAAAGTTAACTTTGCAGCATATTGAGTTAATTTTAAACTCATTAAAAAGAGGTAATTTTTGAACCTAATTTAAAACTGACAGTCAAGAAAAAATATTTTTAGAGGCTTCTGGTAATAACTCTTAAAATTTGGCTTTGGCCTATAGCTTACCTATATTTACCTCTGAATCTCAAATGAGGGCTCTTCTAGCTCTTCTTTTCAATGCAACCAACTTCAAGTGAATTTCATAAAAATAGAAAAAACAAAACTCTGTACCTGCTAGTTTACCAGCAGTGAAAGTAAAGCTGAATCCTTTCATTCACCTGAATGTTAGAGAGAGATGAAATAGTAACACCTTGTTTGGAAAAGCTCACATGAGCTTGCTGCTCTGTTACGTGACATTGAGAACGCTTCAGTTCCTCCTTCTTTTTGAAGTTAAACGTCAAATTTGACATTTCCTGCATTGTTTCTTATTTGTGAATTTATTTGAGTTACTAGAATGAGAGAGGAATCCAGCCATAGTATTCATATTGAGGAACACAGATTTGTGATGGCCAGAAAAGAGAATGACTTGGCTGTGTCTGTAACAGAGTTGCTCGAAGGTGTTACTAAACCAGCTGAAAATGCAAAGCAGTAGCTCTGGAATCTTCTGTCTTGGTTCCAGTCACAAGCTTGATTGAATTGTGGTGCAGGAGGGGAGTTTACCTCCCAATAATAAAAAAAGTCATAAGGGCTGCAGAGGCTTTGAGACGTCTGATAGAGAAACTGGGCAGCCTCATCCATCTTTCGGTTTCCCTCCAGAAATACATGTCAAGCCTGTGTTAATCTTTGTAACTGATATATAGAGTAAGATTAACTTGCCAATTTATCACACATTTGCATAACTGTCACCATAGCCACCTTTGGCAAAGTTTTCTCCTAGACATGTAGTTGGAGGCTGCCTTTTACTCTTCACAGAAACTAAATCTGCATTTGTCATCCTGTTGTGATATTTGTCATACTCAGCAATAGAAATACTGTGCTTTGCTTTTGTGTAAGAGCATTCTGCAGTATCAGTCACTGTCATTCTCCTTCCAGGGGGAGCTAGACTGTGGATGTTTTAAAATTGTTTTGAACTTTTCTGTGAAAGTATTTCTGAAGGAAAATGGAGAAAACTCACATGGCCAAGGCTAGAGGACAAGACCTTCTGTCTCCAGAGGACTTGGGCCAGGCTTTGTGTAATATCACTGCCTCTTGTCAAAAGGCACTTTGGTGCTTTGAGTTGCTTGGGCATCTCCTGTTGAGTAGTCACTCAGACATCCCTGAAAATTACTCTGCTAATCTCATTTCTTACTGCTGGGTGCCTATGGAAATACAGTCAGGTCCTTATCACCAAATGTACTGCTCTTGGATAATGAAAGGGCATTATTCATTTCTTCTACACCTAGTGGGAGCTGGCTGTCCAGGAGAGCAGTAGAGAGCTAGAAGTTCACTTGGAGCTATTTTGGCTGTATCTGGCACTGCCTGCAAGCAGGAGTAGCATTCACAAGCCTCCTGCCCTCAGTTTTTGACTGAGCTCCTGAGTAATTGCAAAGAAGTGGAAGATTTTCCTTCTGTGGAGACATTCACCTTGAGAGTTAGGACAACCACCAAAATGTTTTCTTTTATTAAACACCTCTAGTGCTACTTCTGTCTTTTCTGGGATTGGATGGTGTACCCCTGAGAAGAACAGCAAATCTTAAGGTCCTTGAAACCAGTAAGGGGGAAGTAGGAAAACAATGCAGCTTGTTTTGTGCTGCTGACATAGATTTCAAGGACTTTTCTCCTCATTTGGCTTTTGCCTTTCTCATCAGGAAAACACGATCACGAGTTATCACAGTGAATGCAGAAGTGGTGGGTGTTTGTCTGTGTCTCCTCCTCCAGTGAACCCTGCCTGTTCTCTGGCTGCCCAGGCTCAGTCCTGCTCTGGAGGCCATTCCTCTGCCAGCACAAGCAAGGGAGGTGCTTCTGCAGCATGAGGATGGAGTGCCAAATTCCACTTTGATTCTAAAAAAATGTGTACGCCAGTTAGAAAAAACTGAGCATATCAAAGGTCGCCTTGTTTGGAAGAAGAGTATAAATATTTGTATCAGGCTAGACAAATTCAAATGAGAAGATAAACACACATTTTTAACACATGGATGATTAACTGTTGGAAGAAGCTGCCAAGAGCAGTAGTTTCTCTGGCTTTCATGTCTTAAAGACCAGCTTTCTGAAAAATATCTCCTAGTGAGAAGGGGTTGCTTGGGCTTTACAGAGAAGTAGTGGAAGCTGTGGGAGCCTGGGGCACAGAGCGAGGTGCACCATGGAGCACAGTGCTCCTTCCTGGGCCCTCCTCCATGGGCTGTACTTGGCTTCTTCCCTCCTGATGGGTTGACATTGA